GGCAATCGAATAAGTCGAGTTTTTGTCATCAAAGGACAAATGTGTTTATAGAAATTATGCCAATTAATTTCAATTCCATTGCACCAGCAGTTTCCAATTATTTCTTCAAAACTAGTTTTATCCGAATTAAAACTATTTAGGATCATTATTTTATTATTTAATATTCTTTGAACCAATCTACTTGTATCGGTTCCAATTCCGACATTAATAAAAATTGGATTTGAAAATGTTGAATTAATAGTTTTTATTCCAGATTCAAATTGGACGGTTTTTCGTATATGTTCTCTCCAAAATTTTGCCGTATACACATCTTCAACATTAGTCCATCCTCCAGTGGTATTTGAGATAAAAGGAATGATCGTAGAAGTAGTTTGTTTGGATGCTTTATTAAGTAATGAAGAAATCTCTATTTCAAATTCATCTAAAATGGAATCTGTTAGATGCGAATAAAATCCATATGACCCGTTAAGAATTCTGACTTTATAATCTTGAGTTTCAAGAATTACTGCCAGTTCCTCAATGTCTTTGGATCTTCCAGAGAATATGCATTGATTTTGTTCATTTATTGCTGCTAAAGATATTTTCCCAACCTTTATAAAAGTGTCCGCATGTTTGCTATCTAAATTAGTAGCTAACATTGAACCCTTTTCCATCTTATTCATAACTTGTGTTCTTTTTAATACAATTCCTAAAGCTATATCGAGTGAAAATACCCCGGCAAGAGTGGCAGCTACGTATTGTCCTAGACTATGCCCAACAATTCCAGAAATTTGTATATTAAAAACCGATCTGAGAATTTCGGCTGATATGTAACTTGATATAAAACTTAACAAAGGATCGTATGTTGTATCATAAATATCTTTTTCCAAATAGCTGATAAGATCGGGTACTGTAGAATCATATTTTTGTAAAATATTTACACATTCCTTGAATTTTTTTTGGTACAATGTTGACGATTTGTAAATATGTCGATGGATTAAAATAGAATGGCAGCCTTGGCCGGGTACTACGAAAATTATATTTTCTTTGGGTGATGTTGCATTTATTGGTGATTTTGTTTGTTCAAGTTGGATCAATGCATCAGAAATTGATGTGGCAATTATCATATTACGGAATTCGTATTGAGCTCTACCGATTTGAAGAGTTCTTGAAATTATACAAATTACGTGTCGTTAAATCATAACCTTCGAAATAATTCTTAAACTCCCTCTTAATATTGTTTAAACTATTAATAGATTTTGCTGAAAAAGGTAGGATAACCCTAATGTTCTCTGTATTCTCAGCCGTTTCATTTTCAAAATTTAAATTATCCTTTTTGTATGACGCCAAAATACAATGCCCATTTGTTCCCCCAATACCAAATGAACTCACCCCCGCGTACATTGTTCCTGTTTTATTGAAATTTTGTAACTCAGAAGCAATATAAAATGGACTGGACGAAAAGTTTATTAATGGATTAGCTTTTTCGAAATGACCTTTTGCCATGGGAGGTATAACACGATCCTCTAATGCCTTAATGGTCTTTATTAATCCAGAGAAACCAGCTGCAGTATTAGATTTGACAGAAGATATAGCACAATGCTTCTTAGTTGGTGAAAGTTCAGTAAATACTTTTGTGAGAGCCTTAATTTCAACTGGATCACCAAGTTTAGTAGCAGTTCCATGAGCTTCAATAAAATCAATGTCAGCAGGAAGAAGATTAGCAGATTGAATGGCTTTTTTAATCACTTCATATTGTCCATCTACACTTGGTGCTGTATAACCAATCTTATTATTTCCGTTATTATTTAGCTCGATTGATTTAATCACAGCAGAAATTGGATTTCGATCAGAAATTGCATCGGATAATCGTTTCAAAACAATTACCGATACAGAATTTCCAATAATAGTTCCATCAGAATTATGATCAAACGGGCGACATATTCCATTGGCTGACAAAATAAGACCTGGTTGTGCTATATAACCAGATTGCGGCAATATAATGGAAGCAGCACCAACTATAGCCACGTCACAATCACCACATTGAATACTATTCCATGCTGTTTTTAATGCTGTTAAAGAACTAGAGCAAGTAGAATTAAGAGAAAATGCTGGTCCTTTAAGATTTAGATGGTATGCGATTCTTGTTGCTGCACTTCCGCTCGAGGTGTTCATTTCTTCATTATATTGTTTTGCAAGATCATTTTCATTATTACATGAATAATTTTTGTATGTGCTTTTTTCAATTGCAACAAATACTCCAATTCGTCCTTTTTCATACTGTGGATTGATTCCAGCTTCATCTAAAGCTTGTACACTTTTTTCTAATAACAAACGTTGCTGTGGATCCATTGAAACCGCTTCTTGATGACTAATTTTAAAGAATTCGGCATCAAATTTATCAATATTTGAGAGCACACCACATTTTGGTACATAATGAGGATCATTACGATTTTTCGCACTCATCTCATCAATCTCTTTGTTATTAAATGTGTGAATCCCATGTTGCCCAGTCTTTATCATCTTCCATAATTCATTAACTGATTCAGCTCCAGGGAAACACCCGACCATGCTTATAATTGCTATTTCACTTGCAGTTATTACTTGATCATTATTAGAAGTCTTTATAGAATTATCTAAATCTAAAGATTGATCTGTAGGCATGAGAAAATTTACCAAAGATTCAATGGTTGGATTTTGGAAAAGGTCAACAAGGTCAACCGATGAAATTTGTTGTTGAATTTTCTTTTGTAATTGTAATAATAAAAGAGAATGACCGCCAAGGTCAAAAAAATTAGTGTTAATATCTGGTTTTTCTTTCAAAGCGAGAACATCTTGCCATATGGCTTGTAGATGTAAAACTAGTGAGACTTTAGAATTTTTATGTTGAGGTCTTGGAACCTCAGATTCAATAGCTTTCTTGAGTAATTCGGGCATAATAATCTTAACCTTAGCGTGATCCGTCTTTCCATTATCTGTACAAGGTAAATTATCAACCGGTATAATATCTGGAATTTGAAATTTTGTCATTGTCTTGTTTAATTTATTTCGAATTACTTTATGGTCCAAATTCTTTGGCATAACAAATGCGATTAATGACTTTTTTTCTTCGTTAACTTGAATTGATACACGATAAACCTCCGGACATTTATTCAATATTATAGCTTCAACTTCAGAAAGTTCGATTCTGAGCCCACGAAGTTTCACTTGACGATCGAGCCTTCCTAAATATATAACTTTACCATCTTCTAGAATGCATCCTTGATCACCAGTACGATATAAACGTTTTTGTAATTTCGGGTGAAATATAAAGTGTTCTTTAGTGATATCATCCCGTTTCAAATATCCTCGCGCTAATCCAACACCGCCAATATTTCTCCTTTATCACTTACTAATTCTTGCGTCATTGAATCACAAATATATATAGATGTATGATCACGTGGAGTTCCAATTGCCGAACCCATTGTGACATGTTTTTTTTCAGTTAAGATATCATAATTTGTTGCTAAAACACCTGTTTCAGTAAGGCCATATGAATTGAAAAATTTCTTAAGATGATTCTTCCAGATGTTAACTAAATTATCTGGAAGAACTTCTCCACCAACTTCAAGATATTTTAAAGTTGGGCTACAGTTATCAGGAGATATAGTGGCCAAGATACTTGGTACAACTGACATTGCTTCTATTTCGTTACATTTAATGACATCTAATAAGTAATTTCCAACTAGTAATTTTGGATTTTTAGCAAAACAAATTGTTGAACCATTGGCTATTGCCATAGCCCATCCCATTAATGATGCGTCAAAAGCCATGGGCAACACTTGTAACACCCTAATTCCACCATCTTTAGAACCAAAATATTCATATCTGGTGTCCATCAATAAACTTGTAACATTTTTATGTTCTATCAAAACGCCTTTTGGTTTTCCTGTTGATCCTAAAATGATCAGAAATAAATATTATTTAAAATTTTTTTAAAGATAAACGTCATAAAAATTAATTTTTTTTTTTTTTTTTTTACCTGAAGTGTATTTAACGTAGCAAAGATTTTCTCCGTGGCCTATTGATTCAACTATGTGATCGGATTGTTTAGTGACATCCATTGTATTGCTTTGTATTATTTTACCAGAAAAGTTTTCAACCCAATCATTACACTTTTCATCAGTGATAAAATATGAAACTTCGGAATCTTTAATTATATAATTCTTTCTCTCTGCTGGATATGTTTTATCAATAGGAACATGAGCACCGCCAGCTTTAAGAATGCCTAAAATCCAAGGAATTATATACATATCCTCATTTAAGTGAATCGCAACTAGGGTTTCTATTTTAACCCCAATTTGAGAAAGATATCGAGCAATTTGATTACTCTTCTTATCTAGTTGTTCATATGTCATTGATAATCCAAGTTCTCCCATGTATAATGCTAAATGATTTGGTAATTTATTTGCTTGTTGTTGAAAAAGTTCTTGGATTGTTGGAAATGATTGTGGTACCGATAAATCATTTTCGGATTTAGATTTTAATTTGATTGATGTTAAACTATTTTGTTCGATTAACAGTTTTGGAATTTTTAATTCTAAGTCATCATAATTTTTCATTATATTTATTACTTTTAAAAATTGTTCTCCTATTAATTTAATATTATAAGTATTAAAAATTGTTGGATTATAATTGATATTAAACATTATCATGCCATCTGATTGTTCGATAAAATCAAACCAGAGTTCTACATCAGATCGAATAGCTCTGACTTGAAACTTCATAGGCATTTTTGGTGTTTTTGTAATAATAATTTGTTGAACAAGCTGACGTTTTAATGTTTGATGTGCATATCTTGCTAGATCAATAAATGGATACATTTCATTTTGCTTTGCAGCATATATCAATTTTGCTATTTGTTGAATAGTTGAACACAAACCAATTAAATTAGATGTATCAAGATCTAGATGAACTGGCATAACATTAGCAAAATGACCAACAAGTTGAGATAATGCATTTTTATCACAATTAATTGGCATAGAACGTGCAGAGAATGGAAGCCAAATATTGGCATTCTTTAGATTGACGAATGACGATAAAGTGATCCATACGGCCGAAAACATTACCACGAACCAGGTAACTTTAAATTTATAACCTAAGGCTTTTAATACTTCAATGTTATTACGAAAAACCTGATATTGAAGTGCATCATGTGAAGTGTACTGAACAGATGATAGTTGCATTGGCCATTCAATATTTTTGGTTGATTTGATTTGATTGCGCCAAAATTTTTGTTTGAGTTTATAATCATTGGAATTAAGCCATTCCTCATATTGAGCGATAAAATCGTCGTACGTTATCCCATTAAGCATTGGCAAAGATTCACCGAATAACAATTTGTGAAAATCAAGCAATAAACTATAATTCCCTATACCATCAGTTTATAATCTAATTTGACCGGATCCACAAGAAGGTAGAATCGAATAGGGTATGATTTTTCAAGTTTAAAAGGCTTTTTTACTAACTCATCTATATTAACGGGAGCCGTCATTAGATGAACAACATTTTTTGCATGGTCCACTGGATATTCTCTTCGGTAGCATTTCGTAGGTTTCCCGTCGTCGTCTTTATCATTAAAGGTACTTCGTAAAAGTCCATACCTTGAAACCAAATTGTTAGCGGCAAAAACGATTTCTCGTGTAGATCTAGTTTTGTCTATATCGATAATAGAAAGTCCGTTGTAATTGTAAGATTTGGGATCATTGCAATATTCGAACCATAGACCCTCTTGGAATTTTGAAATAGGGTGTTTAGTACTAATTTGGTTTAATTGATTCATTTTAAATTTGAAATTGTAAGCGACTTAAAATTTATTTTTAAAAATCAAAATTTTATGAAGGCAAAAATCATGGATATTTATATTTTAATCGAACTGTGAAACTTTATGTATACTTTATTAGCGAAGTATATATGGTTACTACTTTTTGAATAAATTGGGAAGCATTGCTGGAAAATATTATACTACGTATAATAAATGTGGAGAATAAACTTTAATATGGATGGGTCAATATAATTATTTGTAAAAATATAATATATAAAAATTAGCTAGTTTAAACTTATTTATAAATATTTTATACTTTAAACAATCTATAAATTAGTTTAATTAGTTATTATTTTTGTAATAATCATATTTGCCCATCTATACTAAAGCTCATCCAAACCACTTGAAAAGTAGATAAATTTAGTGGATCTACCGTATTTCGCGGTTAAAAATATTCTCCCGTAAAATATTTGTTTTGTAATATTGGAACATCTTAATATTATGTCATGCAAATAAGTAAATTTCTTTTAACAGTCGATCGCAAAATCATGGGGTAAATGATTAAATGATCATCAATGTAAATTTGCGACAAAAAATACTTCCCAGTTGCGTATTTATTTGATGAAAAAAAGTTACAATATTGTTTTTAAATTATAAGTCACCTCTTCTTTAGCATTCAAATTTTTTTGTGTTTACATATATGTGACGCACATTATTTGATCAAAACAATCAACGAAATTTTGACGCACTCTAGTCTGAATCAGCTGATTGACCATCTTCCCAGTATCGATAAAAATTTTTAAGTTCGTTTAGGTTAAGGTTATCGTTTATTTCAAGGCTAGATGTTAGCAAGATTATTAGTAAAATTGCCCAAGGAAAACCTTTTGTTAGAGCACTAAAAGTGGTTTCCTATATAAATTTTTGAGTTATAATCGATATTTGCAAACCGAATGTTTTGTTTGAAGTTTGATTGGCTTGCGCCACAATTAGTGATGCATATCCACCGATTTGATTTTTAGGGGTCTTTTTT